ATGAGCTCAAATGATTACATGCCTGAAAAACTCATGCTTAGGGAGATAATAGTGAATGCACACTGCATTTTGCTTATATTCACGCAAGATTGACTCAACCTGTCAAATGTTTAAAAATCAAAGCCAGACTTATGGCCCAAACATATATTAAATCATATGCACAAATGATTCATAACAAAAGCCAATCCACCCCAGTGCACTAGCAGCCGTGAACAAATCACAGTTACTCCTAAATCTGAAGAACTACTCTTCTCATATATTGTTAATGATGAGATTACAAAGGCAGCAAAGCACAGGAGATGAATGGGTGACCATAAAATATAAGATGTATGCTCCAGTAAGACCCAGAGTAATTGAAAGAAATTAGATCATGGTGGTACTTCTTTCTATTTCATCTATTTTTTTCAATCTCCCAACAGAAGTTGATGTGAGGAAAGAAAATATTTGCTGGTTGACACAAAAGGCAGTGAAAGCTTGCCACTTTTGTGCAGATGGAACCTAACTTAATCGGTTTCCTATGTTTTAAGTACATCTTAAAATTAAAAAAAAACTGGAGGCTGATATACGCCCAGAAAAACTACATAGAGTTACAGAAGTAGGCAAGTAATTTAAATTTCCAATATCCCAGTACAATTTTAAGAATTTTCAATGGGCTGATAATATTATCACTTTTACTTTATAATTTGATTCCTTTTTAAACCCACATTTACATTTCCAGTATCACATCTGACCTAATTATTTCAAGAACTATTGAAGTTACTTTAGAGAATCAATTACAATGCCCAGTATGCTTTGTTTCCACTAACAAATTCATTATTTGAACTTGCTATCAGAAATTCATAGCAGTAAAGTTCTGAGCCATAATATGTGTATTGCATTTGTTATTTTCTCTTGCCAGTGGAATCCTTGGTATACTTTGGCAAACGTGGTTATGAAAATATACATTAACTGTTCTAGCATTTTTCTATATAAATGGACAATGGTTGCCTAACAGTTGCTTTTATATCTTTACTGAGATTAAAAATCATATGGTGCTCATATACAGAATGTTATGCATTTTTTCCGGGGAAATCAGAAAGCCAAATATTAAATTTTGGCAAATTTGGTAAAGGTCTAAATTCTTTGCTTGCTGTTCTGTAACTACATAGATGTATATTTCATACTTTAGTAAAAAATAAAACAAAAGAAATAATAATGAAAGGACACATTGTAAACAAAATAAATTTGGTTTCACCTAGTCCATTACTTCAACCTTGATGAACCAAATTCCATGAAAGCAGGTGCTATGTGGGACTTGGAAATTTATTCTGAAATTGTAGCACAATGCCTGTTTCATGATAGATGTTGAGTAAATTTCCATAGAATGCATGAACAAGTTTGCAATGCAAAGTTACCTTTGTTTTTGTTTTTGGACAGGATTTCCATACTTAGGTCACACTGGCCTGGAACATATTATGTATTCCAGGTTGGCCTTAAACTCCCAGTGATTCTCCTGCCTAACTTCCTGTGTGCTTTGATCATAGGCATGACCAACCATGCCAGGCCATGCAAGGTCACATTTGAGAGCCAGAAACAAAGAAACAGAAGATTTCACTTGTGTCAGAGGTCCCTAAGAACATACCAAGATGGCTTAGAAGACTCAGCATATAGTCATGCACTAGCCATAATGTATTATAGCAAAAGAAATACAACTTTAAGCACAATCAGCAAAGAGAAGATATTCAAAGTGTGAAGTCCCTAGAGAAAAAGGCACAAGCTTCCAAAAGTCCTTGCCAAAAGAATCATGTGTTTAAGTCACTAGCACAGCGGTGGCAAACCCACAGTAGGCATGCCACAGCTGGTTATTTGTTCTCAGTGAAAGTTTTAAATGTTAACCATCGCTGTCTGTCTTAGTTACTTTTCTCTTGTTGCTGGGTCAAAATACCCGACATCCAAGGTTAAAGGAAGAAAGGTTTATTTAGCTCACAGTTTGTAGAGGTTTCACTCCATAGTCAGGTGATTGCAAGGCAGGGTGGTGTGGCAGCGGGGAAAATCTTTCCTGGAGGAGGAAGATACCAAAAACCAGACAAGAGGAGGGGAGAGCAAGCCTCTTTTTGTCCCCATTTTGTATGCAGAGTACCTGCCATAGGGCTGGTATAGCATTCACAGCCTTCATCCAGTATTAGATAATGAATCAGTCACAAACTCTAGATTCAGCCACTCCTGAAAAGCCTGACCCCCATGATCTAATGAGGCTTTGAGTGGACCTCCAGAAAAAGCATAACACTGCCCAGGAGTACATTTTGATAATGTGTATATAATGCTGTATAGCAAGGAAGCTCATCAGGATTCAGAGCCCAAGGTTACAAGAGGCTTACAGGCACCTACCTCTCTGCCTAATTGGTACTAAAATTCCAGACTCTCCCAAAGAGAGCAAGCATTCAATATGAACCATATTGTTTATGCAAATGTGTCTTAGTTACTTTTCTCCCATTGCTGAGACAAAAAAACCAATGCTCAAAATTAAGAAAGGAAAAGTTTACTTAGCTCACAGTTTGTAGAGGGTTTAGCCCCTAATCAGCTTGCTCCAAGGCAGGATGGCATAGCAGAAGGGCAACACTTCAAGGTGGCAGAAGACAACAAAAGCAACAAGAACAAAAAGGGAGGAATACAGTGGGCCTAAGAGAAAAGCCATGGGATCTACTACCATCAGACTGTTGTAGGGACAGAGATCCTAAGCTCTTTGGAGCTCTCAACTTGTTACAGAGGGCCTCAGATGATGGGCATGAAGCTACAGGACGTAATGCTTGCCCTATGGGTTTTGGACCTGCATTGATCCCAATCCTTTGTATTGCCATTTGTAATTCTTAGAATGAAAATGTTTGTCTCATGCCATTGAATGTTGGAAGTGTTTAACTTTTCATTTCTAAAGGGGCTTGCAGCTAAGAATTTGCCTTACATCTCAGAGGAGAGTTGGGACTTGGACTTTTCAGCAATGCTCAAATTGTTAGGACTGTGGCAATATTTAGAGATGGACTAAATTTCTTTTGCATAATGTGATTTGCATAAGTCTTTGGGGGCCAGGAGTGAAATGCTATGGTTCTAATGTGATATAATTTTGATAAACTTCAGACTGGTTCTTAAAGATTGTTAACACTGTGTTATGATGTTCAAGTTGTGAATTGATAAGAATAAATATGTCTTTGTACTTGGAAATCAATTTAAAGAAATGTATCTATTTGCTGAGTTGAAAAGGGGTGGATTGTTATAGTTGATTCATTTTGTCAACTTGAGAAGTTTAGAAGCTTAGCTAAGTTAACTCGGCAGTTCTAGATCCTAAGGTGTAGAGGACATGATTTAGGAAGGCAGTATACCATCTAGGATGTTTTAATGACTGATTCATTGTGTCAGTTTGAGAAGTTTAGAAGTTTAACTAAGTGACTCAGCAGGGGGTCAGGGTCCTCACTTTGTAAACATCCTGAGTCTGTGCAAGAGGAGGTTAGGAAGATAGTATGAGTGCTACACCCGTGCCAGGGCAGGTAGCCTGCTTACAATATAAGGGAGGGAAAGAGGCTTGTTTCTCCCTTTTGTTGGTATTGCTTTTGCTGTCTTCTGCTGCTATGAGCTGTTCTCCCTCTGCCATGCCACCTGCATTAGAACCAGCTGATAAGACTGAAACCTCCACAAACTGTGAGCTAAGTAAAACTTTCCTTTTTTTAATTTTGGACACCAGGTATTTTGTCTCAGCAATGAGAGAAAATTAACTAAGACAAAGTGGTTTAGAAAAAAATGAGATACTTTCATCACTTCTAGGAATGATGAGAGCTCTTCTGAAATGCCAGTTTCTAGATGCCAGACAAAGGTGAACTGTAATCAAATTTAGCTAAGGATAGCCGGCTTGGGTCTGTTATGTTGTTTTTTCTTTCTACATAGTTTTCATTTCAATTCATCATGCAAATATTGCTTCTTTGCTTTTCTATTTGATTCTCTGCATTCAACTGAACAGAGGCTGTAGGAACCTGCACATTACATACAGTATCACTGAGTGCAAAGGTAACAATATTGGGCAACATGACTACTAACAAACACCTTACTTAAGTGGATGTTGATGAGAACCGTTAGAGGCTACAAAACAAATGAATATTTGATTTCTTTGTTGGACTTCTCCACTACTAGCAGTTACTTTGGTGGCAGTCCTAGAAGAGGTAATTTCCTCAATTTTTATTAATTTTAAAGAGCAGGAACTTTATTTTATTCATATTTAGGCACTTACTATAACTTATCAATACCATGAATATTTTTGAATGAATTAAAAAAAGTTTATGAACACGTACTTATATATTTTTGAAAGATACATTTTGCAATTGGCTGAAATTTAATACTTCAAAGTCCTTGACATTTGTTGCTTTGGTATCTACTAGGTAACTCTTATTCTAGTTAGGCACAATTATTTTTCTTAATAAATTAATAAAAATGAGCCTGAGCTCCAAATGGAAATTGAATGTGTTTGATTTATTTTCTTTCTTTGTGTGTGTGTGTGTGATACTGGGGATTGATCCCAAGGCCTTTACGCTGAGCTGTTTCCCAACTCACTTTTTTTTTTTTTTATTTTGAGGACAGGGTCTTCCTAAACTACTAAATTGTCCAGGCTGGGTGGGCACTTGCAATCCTCCTGCCACAGCCTTGAAGATTCATGGGATAGAGGTGTGTGCCACCATATCCAGCTGGAAATGTGATTAAGTGAGCCTTAATGGAGAAATGATCATCTGAAAGAAAGAGAGGATAGAACTATTGAAAGTGCCTAAATAGTGTTAGTGCTTCCCCCTCATAGGAATACATGCCTTTGTCATTTAACTATGCTTCTCTCGCCATCAAGAGTATATTCTCCAGTTCTGAGCCTGAATTTGATCAGATGACTTATTATGGCCAACAGGATGCCATCTTTCATGATGTAAGTAGAAGCTGTCAAAGTTCTTTGCAAGGTTGTGTTTACACTCTTTCGCTTCTGCCACATCCAAGAGAAGGATGTACCTGAGCTAGCTCACAACACCTAGGAGAAAGAAGAAACACAAACAGAACTGGAACAGCACGGAGTGTCCCTTTGCAGGCCCAGTCTCCAGCAGCTGATCTCCTGCCAACTCCACATGCCTGAGTGAGCTGAGCCAAAATTAGAAAACTCACCAAGCTGAGCCTGGTCTGCGTCAGCAGAGCTGCACTGACAGGTGAGAAATAAGTGTTGGTTTTTGTATACTGCCTAACTGTTCATAAAAGTCATATACATGTCAAGGAGCCAAATTATAGGATATAGTTTGCCAAGTTCCAAAGTGGAGATTTTGTAATAATACTGAGCACTTATAGCTGCCTGGAGGCTGATGCCAGGTACTTCCAGAAATGATGTTTACGTATTCAAAACACTTTTTCCATCAGTTAAAACCAAAATATAAGAAGTGCTTGGCAAAGACCATTTTATGATAGGGTTTCTGGTATTTTAGGTTGGGTAAGTTAATTTGCTTTCATTTCATATCCATAGGGTGCAGAGATATTGGCTCTTTGGGTACATTCTATTTTTATATTTAACATATTACTTAATATTTAACAAGTTTCAGCCTACAATGCATTAGTATGGCAGAGAGGGCAGGCACAGAGTGGGGGGCAGGTCTGTTACACTCTAGTTCAGTGACAAATTCTCAAGTTAGCCTGGAGTTACATGAATAGGACAATGAGTAGCAGAAGCAAAAACAAAAATAGAATGAAGGAATCCATACTTGTATCTCATTCGAGGATGTTTTCATTAAAGAGAAAATAAAAGCAAATAGAAGGAAAAGGAAGTAAGAACTGTCCTATTATTGAGACAGACTAAAAGTACCTGACTTTCATTTTTTTCCTGTGCCTCCCAGAGGGTCCATGTGATTAGACCAGAAGCTGTCTATCCCTCCTCTCACCTCCTTTTGCTCTCATTCAAACCCCTTCGTGGACTGGGACAGTTTGCTTCAGTGTCCTCAAACCACCGTTCTTCATTCCAACATGACTGCAGCCAGACAAGCAGTGTGGTGCCGCCGCCACACACATCCCTGCCACTTCAGATTCTACTGTTGCCTTTTGAAGAAGGAAAGGAGCAACCTGGAGTGGCTAAGATCAGGAAGGGAGGGATCTGGGGTCCTTATTTGCATACCCAACATTCACAGTAAGGTTTCAGCTGTGCCGCTCACTGACACAAGCTTGCAGCTGGTATATAAGCAGCACTCCCCAGCCACATCTTATGTTTTAGTCTATGAGAGCTCCCTCATGTCTACTGTTCTCTTGTGCTGCAGCAAGTTCCAGACAGGCTTTGGTGTCTTAATTACTTTTCTCATTGCTGGGACAAAATACCCAACACCCAAAGTTAAAGGAGAAAAGGTTTATATAGCTCACAGTTTATAGAAGTCTCAGTCCATAGTCGGTTGGCTCCAGGGCATGGTGTCTTCACAGAGGAGAGTAATTCATAGCAGGCAGAGGACAGCAAAAGCAACAAGGGAGAGGCAAGACTCTTTCTATCTATTACGTTGTATGCAGGCTACCTGCCCTAGAATAAGTGTAGCACTCACACCTATAATGCCTTGAATTAATCACAAACTCTAGAGTCAGCCACCTATGAAAAGCCTGCCCCCCACAACTATGAGGTTTGGGGGGACACTGAGATACAAACAATAACACTGGATAACCTAGTAACTTAGTGCGACACCATTAAAATAAAGACTTGCTTTGGTGGTCCTGTATACCCACTGGTGATTCATTTCTCAGACAGTGTGGGCACCAAAAGTCCTGTAAATATACTTGCAAAAGTCCTGTGAAAATACACTTTTATCCTAAGTAGCATGGGCAGACCAGTCCTTTCAAAAGAAAGAGCGATAAACACTCAGAGCTGTTGTCATAAAGAGATTCAAAGACCAGTAGCAGAGATGAGCACCCAGTAAGCTCAGCTAGCACCAGCACAAAGACAGTATCAAGTAGAGTCAACCTACACTGTCTGGCACAAGCTGGCATCAGACAGCTAACAATAATCAGGAAACCTCCTGCCATTAGTCATTTCTTATTTTAAATTCAAGCATTCAAAGTTCCATCTGATGGTGTTAGTTAGAGTTGCACTACCTGACATAAAAAATAATTACAAATTTCAATAGCTCAAAGCAAGAAATGTATATTTGTTATTCACCGAACAGTCTAGTGAGGAAAGATTTCCTCCCTTCTATTCCTCAAGAACCCAGGCTATGTGCATGCCATGGTTCAGAGCCCCAGCTTAGATAGCATACTTTCTCTGATATTCCATTAGCAAGTGAGTCATATGGACACAGGAGTGCAAAGGAGGTTAGAATGTGCAGTTCCAGTTTGTGCAGCAGCTTCCTGGAAAGAAGTTTCCACAATGAAAGTTTCCACAATGAGAGTTTTGAATGGAGAGCTATCCCCATTCGCCACATTGATACAACCATGTTTTGTCCATGGAGACCATCACAGGTGGTTTATGCTGGTTACTTAATACATATTGGTAGAATAATTGAATTAACAAATGGTTTAAAACCAATGCCCGTCCCTGTCCTGAGTGTTCACACAGCTCTAACTGGTGTGTTTATTCTCTTTCATTGAGTAATTGCTGCATGTCAATTACTAAACTTATTCACTAACCCTGTGAAATAGGTATTACCAATATCCTTATTTTGTAGATGACAAAATTGAGATTTAATCATTGAGTAGTTTGACCACAGATGCAGAGGTATGTGAATTAAGTGTTGACATCAGGGTGCACATCTATGTTTCTCTGACTCTACAAGTGAAACTTTTTAAAGCCTCTCAAAACTCCTTCAAAGCATTGTGGAAACCACATGGTCATATTTTTGCTTGTTTATTGCAAACTCTTTGTGGAGATAGTCTATTAGCAAACCTTTGGGCAGCACCAGTCTTTGGGGACCCCTGCAGTGAGTCCCCAATCTCCTGCCAAGTGTTACAGCAGGAAGAAACAGCAAGAGACAAAATAGGGGTGCAGGCAGAGATCTGCCTGAGATGCATCCCTGGATCTGGGATGACCAGTTATTCTCAGGGAACAATACCCAGAACCTTGGTATTTATTCATTACATGTGAGTCAAGGTCAATGGGTGAAGGGCAGTGGGTGTTTCCAGGACAGTAATGGTGACTGTGATGGGCTAGGAAGAAAAACAAAGCATTCTTGCAAGGACTAGGATGAGACAGGGGGCAATGAAGAAACCGTATTTTCCCCAGATGTGTTATTGTCTTCAGCCCCGTGAGCACCGCAGCAGTCCTAGGGCTTCCAGCTGTGGTCAGAAAAGAGCAGGGAGTTTCTGTGTTCCAGTCTGGCTCAAAAGCAAGACAAGAACAAGCATTGGATGTCCCTTAGACTCAATTCATAATTCGTAGTCTCCAACAATAGTCAAAGACTAGTAAATTTATTCCCTGCATCTCCCCCAGCTAGAATAAATTTAATTCAATAATAATGTGAAATGGAACCTAGAAGAAAAATCAAGAGTTCAATCATTAATTCCATGTTGCACTTTGGGCTTTTTTCAAAATCTGAAGGTAATTAAATCAAATTGTTACCAATTTCCTGCTTTATAATCTGATTTCAAATTAAGAATTATAAAACATGATGTATAGAAAACATAAATTGAGGGCAATAATAAGAGTTCTATTTTCTATAAGAGGGCAAAAATAAGAGTTCTATTTTGCTTATTATAAAGAAGCAGCTAAATGTTGCTCAAGGGGAAAAAGCCAAAAAAACTAACCATTAACTTAGAAGCATCCTTGATTTTGTCCTGAAAATGTACTGTAAGTATCAAAATGATTGGTAACACCAGCTGGGTGTTATGATGTGTGCCTGAAATCCCAGCACTATGGGAGGCTGAAGTATGAGATCACAAGTCTGAGAACAGCCTGGGTCACTTAGGATTTAGTGAGACCTTGTCTGAAAGAAAAAAAAAAAATGGGCCGGGGGGACCTCAGCTCAGTGAGAAGACCCTGAATTCAATCTCTAGTACCACAATCAATCAATCAATCAGTCAAAAACTAGGGACCTTCTTGTCTCCATCACTAAGAAATTGTGCATCTACTTCTTAGCTGCAATGACAAGGGGGTGAAACACTGGAAAATTTCAGCTATATCTTTGGAAAATATAACCTCTCTATATAAAAGAAAGCAATCATATTGTTTTGGTAAAAGAAAGAGAAATTATGCTAGATCATTATTTGTATTTAACTAAAGCCATCTAATTCAAGTATCTAAGTACTTTTTATGTTGAACATAACAACTGTGTATTCCTACATTTCACTAATAATTAATTTGTGCACATCTTAAATTATCAGTGGAGAAATTTTGTACAAAAATATTAGTGAAAGTGCAATTTAAATCATTTATGACACACTGGAGTAGATGAACAGTTTAAATTTTCTTCAGTGTAAGTTCTTATGTTGATAAACTTACATACATTAGATTTTACTAGCTATTTTTATAAGAATGATCTAATTTAATTAAATTATTTGTTTTATGGAGATGCTATGAATCAAACTCAGACCCTTATACATGTTAGGCAAGCAATCATTGAACTTATTTTTAAAATGAGAAGATATTGTTCACAAAAGTTGAATAACAAAATCAATGTTTTATGTTCACTGGGTCAGTAGATGAGTCATCTTATCTTCTATACTAGACAAACCTTCCCAACTGCACTGGCTTCTAGATCCCCTTATCACAGACATGAAAGCTAATGGGCCAGGCCATCCTCCCAACAAAAAGCCTACAATTTGAATATTTTGGTTCTTTTCATAGCTATACTACCATGGCTTGCAAGGCTACAAAGATAGGCAAAGAAAAACACAGGTAGAAGTGTGTTCTCTTATTTGGCTTGATTGACACAAGTCTTTTCTGGACATATTCATCATCTAGAACTAGTCATGTAACCCGATTCTCACTTCAGGCATGATGGAGAAGCACTGGGAAGAACTGGACAATTTAGTGAGCACTGTTTCTGCTGTGTTCACAGCAAAAACAAGAACCTTCATCTCCTGAGAGCTTGCCCAGTCACTTTCCCATGAAATGTCCCTGAAAATAAGTGTTAATTATGGAGCTCAAAAGAAACTGCTCAAAATGAAAGAACTGGGATGGGCAAAAGAGAAAAGAAAGAAAGAAGGTTTTATATATATAGTACACTTAGCTATCTTGTAGCCATGGCTACAAGATGGCTAAGATAATTATACTACTAATTTTTATTGGTTTATTGAAAGGAACAATTAAAGCTTGTTTGATCAATCTTGCATGTATATATCTGGTAATCTGAACAATTACTTTGAAGATGACAATATGCAATATAACAACCATTTTTAATTTCCTATCATCTTGTTTAGAAATTCTGTATCATTTTTATTGTGTTTTAATTTTTATTCCCTTTAAAAATTATCTGTGGCCTCTTTTAGCTGTGCTCATCAGAGCCTCCATTTAAATAAAAATGAAACACTGACACAATTGTAGTGGCAGACACTATTATACCCTTCTTAATCATGTGAGTCTGAGTTTGGAATTCTTGACTTTCATCTAGGAAACTTATTTTTACAAGCTTCACATGAGTCACAGCCCAGACTGTAGTATCTGAATCTTGGGAACAGCATGTATGATTTACTAGGCTTCATCTCACACAGAATTATATTTTTTTCTCTTTGGGTATGAATTCTGTTTCTCAGGTTCTACAACAAAACCAAAAGAGCTTTCACATTAAGTTTTCTGTGTGTATATACTGAAATATTGCAGGGATTTTTAAACACTAATTAAAACCTCAACAGCATAACAGTGGTAACATGACTACCTTTTTCTCTTTTCTTTGATGATATGGATTATGGAGAAAACATTGCCAAAAAACACCAAAGATTTTTTTTCTGATTCTACATGGCTTCTAAAATTGATGCCATGCAAGACAGAGATTTTTCAGTCCCGTTCCTCAGATAACTGTGACAGTATCATATTTTACAATAGTTTGGACTTGTAATCCATCATCGATATTTCAAGCATTTTATGAGCAAATTACTATTTTTGCAAAGCAAACAGATTTCTCAAGCTCTGTTCATTTTGATTAGGAAAGTTTCCCCCACAGGAATTTTGAAACTCTTGCAAATTCTCTCATATGTTAACTGCTTTACATTATGATGAAATACAGCCTATTACTCATATGTTCTAGTGGACTGGAAAGGTTATTTTAAGCTAATCCTTAATCATAGGCTGTAGAGAAAATATTATAATTATTTGCCCACACCAAATCATTACAGGCTTTCCTTATTGTGGAATAATTTTAACTGGAAATTTCATCATAATGTGCCTAAAATAATGCTTCCTTTTTTAAATTTTCAAATACTAGATGATGTCATAATAGTCTCAAAAATAACAGTAGGAAGGCACTCCTCTCTAAGCACTAAGAAGAGGTTAGGAGACAAAAGATGTCGTATGATTTATGTAGCTCTATAAGACAACCCATTCTGCCTGGTGTGGGAAATGACTACAATTCCTCTGAAAAGATTGGGTAATTTAAAACAGTCCATGGCAGGTGGTGTTCAACATGTAGAACTCTCTCTTTTTGAAATTTTAACTGTTAGTTGGTGAACAAATCTACTAATGGTGTGCAAACCACTACTAAGTATGTACTTATATAAAATATGTTTTCAAAACATCTGTTGACATCATCCTCTATTCTTTGACCAATAAAATCATGCTAGAAGAAAAATTCACGGTGTGACATCCTGAGAAATATTAAGACTGCATACTGTACTTCATGAGAAATTTAATAAATTTTCTAACATGATATTTATAAAACTCAGTTTTTCTTGTATTATGTAATTTAAAATTTTTGCCTTTAAACGTTTTATTGATATCATGTAATTATCATAAAGAATCCATATCCACATCACTATTTACTCTCCGTGGGCAAAGGAGTTTATAGATACCTTACAGATCTTTTGAAACATACCTCAGAGTATGATGACAAATGGCATAAGAAAAGAACTGCCTTACTAATCCAAAAGTTAATGCCAAAATGGCCCAAATTAATGTACATGTTTAAAATGCAATGAGCATGTTTAAAATGCAAAATAGTCAAAAATCAGCTACCTTCCTAGCAAAGTAAGTCAGTGATAGTCTACTCATAAGACACATTTACCTCTACATGGACAGGGGTTCATAAATCAAGCACATTACTTTCTAACTTTGTCAAGGCTCTGCAAATAACATACATATTACCCACTACTAGTATTCAAGTCTTAGAGTAAGATGATGTCAGTTCAAAATCCTTGCATTACACTTAGTATTTGATAGTAATAATAACTAAGTCACTTAAATCTGAGTTTGAGCATTCACATTTGTAAAAGAAGACCTTGTATTGGGGACAGAAGTTTTCTTTTACTACCACTCTAGTAATCAAAGGCAGTCATAGACAATGCATAGATGGGATGATCGTGTTCAAATAAAGCTTGACTGACAAATCAGGCAACCATCCAGAATCATCCTGAGGGCTGTAGCATGACAGTCCCTGGTAACACAAGTTCTGAATGGTGACTTCGAAATCCTTGAAAGGCTACACCAGTCGCCAGCAGCAAGGGTTGCCCCAAGGGAAAACAAACTGGAGGCACGAAGGACAGGAGACAGCTCCCCACTTCACCCTGTACTCTTTATAACCTTGAATTGTATGTAATGTACCATATTTAGACAATAAGTGAATTTAACTCTGAGAATAAAAATTATTTTAAGTAGTATTAAAATTACTAAAGCATTGCTTTTATCTTCTGTGGGAAGGGCGTATAAAATTTTCTCTTCTTCTTAGACAATGAGGAAGTGAAACCAGACCACTGAGATAATGCAATTTGTAAACAGGAAAATTCCACCCAAATACACAGCACCATAACAGTATTTTGTGAATTTGGGGGTGACCCCAGCTGCGAGCTCAGACATTGGAACTGACCTGTTGAAGATGAACCAGAAGATCTGCAGGTATGTTTTCTGCTTTTCATCTATGTCTTCTAACAATGCAAACTCCAATGAATACTAAATTCAAAGTAATTAAGACAGCAAATTTGGCATATTGAAAACTTGTATGTACAAATTAAAATTCTGAGGCCTACACTTTTAATAATTCATGGTATTCTTAAACCTATACCACGTGATAGAACAAAACTGAATTGAAGACTATGCTTTACCCTTACCTTTTAATTTTAAATTTCCCATTTAATTCTGGAGTTATTCAACAGTGACTTGCTAACATGTATAGTTTCTGTAAATATTTTTCAATTAGAATTGGTCAGAGCCATATCCTTAGATACAACAAAATAGTCCAACACTAAATCAGATTTAAATAAATCATGTCAAAAATATTATCGTAACACAATAAAATAGATGACTATTTTTAAATCACTTTCAGTAACAAATTTTAAATTTATGGAAATTTCAGGTTAAGCTTGAGTTAAAATAAGTAATCTATTTTCATTAAAAACTAATTTATTGAGAGTTATTTCAGGAGTAAATATTCAAGATTGCTGGATTATATTCACACGTGCACTTGTTTATAATCATTGGAATGGATAAGTAATCGATTAAGACATTTTGGGAAAAATTTTTCTCCCTTTTGAGGAACCTACATTCTTTCACAGAAAGATCAACAAGACTTCACTGCCAAGAGATTTAAGATTTCTAGAATATAACAGTATGATATAAGGGATAACCCTGGAGGGTTTTCTACCCAAGAATTATGTAGTATAAAAATATTAAATTCTCAGATAGTCATTACTAAAGAATAAAACAATGATTCAAGGAAATTCCTCCATTAAAGCTCAGGTCTTTCTAGATAAGACTAAGAAATTAGGTGACAATATCATCAGTTAGACAATTCGTTAAGCATCCGTCTACCAGACCAGCTGGACTGGGATGTCGTTCCAGCATCAGTGCACCTGCCTAGCACCCCTGAGGCCCTGGGTTCAAAACCAAACACTGCATAAATAATTTTTTTAAAAAAATCAGTCTACTGGACAAGAGAGCCACAACCCATGTATCTAAGAGAACGTTGCCCAGGAAAGCTAAATTCCAGAGTCTTGAAGCAGAACAGAGTCAAGGAATACAGAAACAAGAAATCTCTTCCAGTAAGTGTTGCCTCTTACAAGAGGATGAGGAGTAATTGCCCTCTCAGTGAGGGCTGGGCAAGCAGGTCACAGACAGCTACAGTTCTGAAGAGGTAAAGGAAATAGAAAAGGAAGAGGCAGAACGATGCTGAAGTTACATCTTTGCAGTTTTGCCAAGGTCATGTCTTGTCTTTTGTACCTGCTGTAACCAGGGCAGACACATCACGTATGGGATGTCCTAAACCAAAGCTGCAGGCGGGCCCATGGCCCCTGCACTGGAGTGAGTGTGCCAGCCCCTTTAAAGGGCAGCACTTCAGCTCCAGGCTGGACAGAGGGTCTTTCAGGTGGCCATCTCAGGCCAGCCTGCCCCTAAAGGAAGAGCTTGTACAACACTTGTATAAGAGATGGGGCCGTTTCCATCTACTGCTTTCTGTTTCCATTTCATTTATCTTAAGGTGATAAAAAATACTGAATCAGTGATTTGACAGATATTGCAGAGTTCCCCTTTAAACTGATTACCCACGTAATCGTGGGTATGGAGGCATATGCCTGCAATCTCAGTACCTTGTGAGGCTGAGACGGGAAGATTATCTCATTCAAGTCCAGACAAGTCAACTTAGTGACTGAGTGAGATCCTGTCTCAAAAATATAAAAAAGGGGTTGTAGCTCAGTGTAAAGGCCCTGGGTTCACTCTTCAGCACTGAAAAACAAGTGAAAAAGTAATCCATTTAGAGAATAACATTTTGAACAGGTCAAACTGAGATGTGACAGGAATTATAATGGTGGAATGAGAATAAGGAATTCATTCAAATTAAGTCATATAATCACTACAGGTTGAATCCTCAAGGTCTAACATACAGGTTCATGTCCTAAAGGCTTTGTCCCCAAGACTGAACTATTGGAAGCTGGTGGAAATGCTAAAAGGTAGGGGTTTGAAAGGTCTTTATGTCATTAGAGACATGGCACTCAAGGGACTCTGACCCCTTCCCCTGGTTTTTGCTTCCCTGCTGGTGGGATGAGCAGTTTGCTCTATCCTGTCTCTTCCATGATGTGTGATCTCACCACAAACCTAAACAGACTGGAAGCTACAAAACTCTGAGCCATAGTAAGCTTTGTCTCTTATAAATTGATTACCTAAGGTATGTTTTGTTGACAGAAAGCTGCCTAACAAAATAAGGCTCTCCGTTTCCGAGGAATATAAAGAAGTCGCTTTGCCAAAGACTCCAAGCTATAGAACGTGTTTGACATTGAAGAAAACTCATGCCTCACATCCTAAAATTTTATAGAATTGAAATTGGAAATTTGAAAAAGATATGGCAATTAACGTCTTTCTCTAACTTTTAAGTTTTGATAAGGTTCGATTCTTTCCTATAAGGAGCTTGAGGTGTGGGTTAGTTCCCACGGCCCAAAGCTCAGCACTAAAATTTAATGCTAATCTGTTACCTACAAACTCCATAATAACCATTACCCTAGGACTGGATGAAGAAGATAACCTAGTAAACATTGATAAGGCAGAAAAATGGACAATGAGAACATTTATTTCCCAAGCTCTTCTGGTTAAAAAGTTACCGGTTCCAAAGATAAAGAATTAATTAACAATCCACACAAAAGTCAGGGTGCTCAGCCAGAAAAATGTGGAAAGAAAGTTTCATCCATAAACTGCGTATGCTAGCTGTATAACTATCCTAACTTGTGTATAATGTTTTGTGCTAATATTGTTAAGACAAGATATCATGCCTATATCTTGTACTCAGATTTACTTCTGTGAAGACAACACAGTATATCAACTATTGCAACTGTCCTACTAACCTATTTCCAAACTCAGTGTCATTGTTTGTTTATCTTTTTTCTCTTATAATAAAAAGAACTGCGTATGTGTACCTAAATACATTCGTACACACTGCCCTTATTTGCCAATGTGAAGCGCACGTGTGTCAATGACAATTTTACTGTGCAGTGATGGTTATGAAAGAGAATTCTCTTCCTTACTTCCTGGATTCAAATCCTTTACCAGCTTTGAGACTTGGGGCAATTTCTCAGCTTCATTAAGCTTCAAGTTCCTCAAAACAGGCCTAATAAAAGTAACTCTCTTATGGAGTTACTGAGAGAATTAAATGAGCTAATATATAAAACGTGCTGAAAACTGTGCCTGCAAGATCATAAGCGACAAATAACTAAGAAATTATTATTATTTTCCACTTGACTGCATCTCTTAGAATACAAGGAAATGTTCCCAAGTTTTACCCAGTTGACTCACTATTTGATCCGTTTCAATCACAGACATATATTATTAGGGTGAAGTCTAAAATTATTTTCATCTCAGCGTTTGATGCAGAATTTAAAAATATAGAAGGGATTCTTGCCTGACAACATGCTGTTGCTAGGAGCAGTTAAGGAACTAAACGTTCAGTTATGCCTGAGACCTTCCCTGCTGTTCTGCCACATTGATTCTCTGGTTTAAAACCTTTTACAGATTGCAGGTGCTGCCCAGGAGCACCCAGTGCCCCTGGTCACTTAGTCCACTCTTTGCTGGAAGCAAGTCCAGTCTTGCTTAGTCCAGTCTTGGCTGGAAGCAAGTCTAAATCCTAAAGGATGACAAAGCTCATTCCAGGTGAAATAGCAAAGAGGAAACATGGCTTGCCTAGGCAGAAGCTCACTGTATGCAAACCCTGGAGTTGAGAAAATACTTCTTCCTTACAGAACTATAGGTTGTCTATTATGATCCGATCTTCAGATAAAAGAGGGAGAACTTGGGAGCCTGAGTCCAGTTAGACTGTCACAGAACCCATGTGTCATGCCAAAGATTTAAATTTCTCTCAAAGGAAATGGGGAGTAAGTACATACAGGGCTTTACACTGGAGATTTGCATGGGCATATTTGTTAAGAGCTGCCAGCCTCTATATGCCAGGAATTCTCAACCAGGCATTCACTCCATAGATATTCCCTGAAATTCCACGTTTTTAAACTGAGATGGCACAAATGAAAGAAAAAAATAATTTGTTTTTATTAAATACTTCAGTATCTTACTAGGAAAAGCACACATTTCTACATCACAAATTTATTTATACTGTATTCATTATTTAAAATGCTGATTTTCTTCGTAGTCCTATGTATTTAACCTTATGATTTTAAAAACATTATTCTGAGGAGGGGTTCATAGGTCTCTCCAGTTGGCCAAAGGGTCTATGGCACAGAAAAAGGGTAAGGATCTGTAGGGAGGGGTTACATGAATGCCTAAAGCTGAAGTTTAGCTAAGTGTTCCCAAAAGGCCCTGAGCTAAAGGCTTAATTACAGCCCCCTACTGCTGCTGAGAAGTAGTGCAACCTTGAGGAGGTGGGGCCTCATGGAAAGAAGTTTAATTATTACATCACTGGGTGTGTTCCTCAAGGGGCTATTAGGACCGCAGCCCCTAACTTTGCTTTCTCTCTTGTTTCCCAGCCATCACAAGCCACCACCCACTCCTGCCATGATGTGCTGGTGCACCAGAGGCCCAAAGGTAAAGAGGTCAAGAAAATATAGACTGGAATTTCCAAAACTCTGAACAAAAGTAAGCCTCTCTTCTTTAAAAGTTGAATTATCTCTTGAATTTGTTACAGTAGCAGACACCTGACTAACACATAGACCAAAGACTGTATAAGATTCCTCATGACATATGCCAGGGAGTCACCAACTCATACACCCTATGAAGGTAGTAATTAAACTGGTTTAACCAAAATCCCCCAAGGCTTATGTCTCTAGAATCTGCGTCCGGTTTTTAAGAAGACAGTTCAAAATGTCAGATTGTCTCTTCCAAAACCAGTTCCCTGGCAACTTGGCAGGCAAGATCCTGGCCATTATTTCAGGTTTCTTCTGTATATTGACAGTATCACAGTAGATATTTCTTGAGACAGCTTCCCAGTTCCACTCCTCTTCCTTTGGCTACAACATCTCTGCTACTCAATTAATTCACCCAGCCGGATGTACCTCTTATGCTCACTCAGTATGTGGTTGTCACTCCCCAGGCATATCCAAGGCTAAGCCAACTATTTGATCATAGTTCACGAACCATATGACCTAAGGTTGCCTAATCAGAATAACTCCCCAGATTTTGGAAGGAGAAGGTGCGATTTCCACTAGAGTTGAACCTGAGGGGGAGTGAGAATGTGGCTCCTGTGATCACTTTTGCCACTAAATATAGGTCCTGATATCAGAGGGAGAGATTAGCATTTAGAAAGTAAAGGTGAGGAATGGGAGAAGCTGAGACCAAGTGTCTCTGTGTGGTACCTAAAGATGGAGATAACACTGCACTTTTCAAGTTCACGAACCAAGTAGCTGAGCTTCATATTAAAAATAACTTAGGGTATTTTAAGTTTTTTTATTGAGAGACAGAAAGAGAGGATCCTGAAAGATAACAGAAATACCTAATACTCATGTAGTCTCTAAGAAAACTCTACATAATTTGTACCATGTGGAGGATTAATTTCTCCCCATTAGTAACTTGTGACTGTAAAATTTCTGGGAAAGATCCCCTTCCCCTAGGGCAGTGGTGGTGAACTATGGAATGTGTGTTATGGCATTTTTCTTTTAGAATAAAAGATGTTAATTTGGAGTTATTTTTTCTAAACTAAAACCTCAGTATTCATGTTTAATTGCTGTTTGGGCACTTGGCAATAAATAAGTGGGTTTTTGGGGGGAGTTTGTTATTCAGCCTCTAAAAGGCTGGCTGTCACTGCCCTAGGGTTAAAGAGGAGCATCAAATCTTTAAACACATAAAGCTATGGGGATCACGTCTTCGGTCCAATACTGACAAATACTCTGTTTGGACAGAATTTTTCCAGGTGTAACACTGCTAACTATGCACAGCAGAATCATAAAGTGTTAATAGACAGTCGAGATTCCAGGCCAAGTGCACTGAATACAATCTCTAAAGGGAAGAATGAGGCTTAGGGATCTGCATTTGGCTCAGATACCTGGTAATTCTCACACAGGAAAGGGTCTCTGAACTCTCTTCCTTAAGAATTACTATTGCTGCTAGGAGAGTTACATCACAAGGACATGTAAAACAGTTCTGTGTTAATTCTTCACTAGCTAATTTTTGTATTTTTGACTTTCTTTTTTTTGTTTTGTTTTGTTTTTGCTTTTCTTCCGGTACCAGGAATCGAACTCACGACCTTGCGCTTGCCAGGCAGGCATTTTGCCGCTGAGCTAAATCCCCAGCCTTGTACTTTTGACTTTCAAATTTCATATTTTTGTTTGGGGGTTTGGAACTGTCAATTATTATATAAAAATGATATCATGCCCCATCACTTGTGAAGTTCTTAGTATAAAACAGAGTCCCCAGATTTATTGTAGATTCAGTTCACATAAGAATCCTAAAAAATTATATATATAAATTTTCCCAGATAATTCTGCTGCCTCCTGAATTTTTAAGAACTACTGACATGGAAAGATCAAAAAAAAAAAAATTGAGTTCTAGGCAGAACAGAAAAACAAATTAAACCTGAAATCCTTGAATTTCCCTTTTACTTGATCAATTCAAGAGATTCACGTTTCCCTATTTACAGTGGTTTTTTCCTCTTTTTCAGCACACTACAGATTCATCCTTATAGAGGCTTAGATTTCATGGTGCTTTTTATATAGAACCATTTGCAGGCACCAACCAGTTTTTAATTAGGAGTACCCCTAAGGAAAAGCACCAGGCACTTTTACGGGGATAGCTGTGTGCACATCTTGTCACTAGCCAGCAGGGTTTAATGCTTGATGCATTTTAGGCTATTTTTGAAGTAGGAAATTGAGCATATAGTTGAAAATGTGAAAATCTGCTGCTGTATTCATGAAGTAAATGCACTGTAAGCTGAGAATTCTGCTTTGTCCCTTAGTCAAAATTGAGTTTGAGTTATGCACACATTTCAGGGATGGGAAAACTATTATTTATCTCTTCTTAGATATAGATTTTGGCATCTTCTTCAAACTAACTGTAGAAATTGAGCTGCATGTGGGATAAGCAGAAACTGTGCAGTTTCTTACGAAATTTGTGACAATGGCTTCAGGTAAAAATGAGAACTTCTCCTACATTATAAACTAGCCACGATTGGGAAGGAAGAGGAAATTGCACTTATAAAATTTTCCATTCTACCTAATAGACAGTTTCCTTATTTGCTAATTCGAGGGCTTTCTCCTATTTTTCTTGTGGGAGAGAGAAATATACAAAGAAAAAGATGGAGGAGGAAGAGATAGCAAGGAAAGAATAGAAAAAGGGTAGGAGAGGGGAAAAGAAGGGTGATGTGATTTGTTTAATCAGTAACCTATATCTATTAAGAAGCCATAAGAAAAATGTACATGTTGCAACTGTACCTACTATTTCTTTCAGTTAATAAAACTGAAGAGGAAAAGTCACTTAATGTACTATTACCCTTCCCTTCAATACATGCTTTAAAAATTAGTAATTCTGCATTTAAGTTTTTTTGCACATCATCAAAAAATGATTTAATCACTAATTTTCCAAAACTAAAGTTGTTTTATATTGTTACTGTGCAGAGTACGTATATTATGCTTAAAGAGAACTTCCTAGTAAATCATCAGAAATACATCTTCAAAGAATATTTCATTGCTGCTTGACCCCAGGGAGAAGCCACTTGTCCACTTGGAAACCAGAAAGCACGTCATTAATCCTGTTTGTGGTAACACAGTTATTACATGGATAAACTGAGTCAGCATTTGACTTAGGCAAAAACCTGCATAAGCCTTTGTTGCTGTAATAGTTAAGTTGGCACACAAAGCATTAGGTACTTGTTTTATTGGTTTGTTGTTGTTGTCATTGTTAGTTTTCTTAGCAAACAGAAAATACTATAAATTGTGATGAAACATTCCCATCTGTTCCCACGCTAAGTAAGATTTTAATAATCGTATGTTTCAATCAGGGTTTGATAAGGGAGGGACCACTGTGAGCCATGTATGGGGATAAAATATATGCAAATGAGGGAGCTGGGAGAGAGATCCCTTCAGGCTATGGCTTCTGCACTGGTTCTGGGCCTCACTGGCTGGGTCTGCTTGGTTGCCCTCTCAGGAGAGGCTAGATGGGAAGGGAGGACCAGGGAAACCCTGCAAGGTTGAACTACAACACATTAAGTCAGTGAATTTTGATTTCATCAGGAATGTCTGGCATAGGACACATGTATAACAAAACACATGTCATCTGCCAGTAGCATATAAGGCCTGTCTTGGTACTTTTTCCAAGTAATCGTGGCCTGTGCTTCTGGATTCTTCTATACACAAATATATAGCTAGACTTCCTCAATCTAGTGGACTTGATTAAGAGAGGAAATCTATTTTCCATCTTTAGTGTCAACCCAACTTTCAAAAAAGAGATGCCCTTTTATGAGCCTCTCTTATTCTTTTTTTTTTAGGTATCGGAAATCGAACTCAGAACCCTGTGCTAGCCAGGTAGGAACTGCAAGCCTCTCTTACTCTTGATCTCAATCTGCTCTGATTTTATGATTTAAGGAGGCTTAGGAGACAATTAATCATGACTTGACATATTGTTTTCAAAGGGAAAATGAATTTTAAGGTTGACCAGTCACCTGATGAATACATTCTTGGTAGTTTCACCAAAGAAAGGAACCATGTCTATTAGCAGTAGCAATAATAAAATCATTTCTTTTGAGGATTATCTACATTTATTTTTGTTTATCATTCACCTTCACACCTATGTGAACTTGCTGAAAATTAGCCATTGGATCATGGAAAATAAATGTTAAAAATTCAAAGGGGCTATGGTTTCAAAAGAAAAACATGGGGTGACGTGGACATTCCTTTCCCGTTTCTGTGGAGGCTCTCTTCAGGCATCAGATTCAGAAATTATGCTGGTGCGTGAACTTTATTTTCTTCCTTCTGTTATTCACATTTGGCATAAATCTGCCTTTCTCCAGTCTCGTTTCTTTGATCTGAATTCTGTTGGGGAAAGTGGAATGAAGTTTCTCTTCTCCTCAATAGGGATGTTTCAGCTCTTATTTTACTTGCATATCTTCTCTGCAAGTGACTTTATTAAGAATTCCTCCTTTGCCATAGAAATGTTTTTTGCAACTTCACATACTGATGACTCTTCTCTAGAAGCATGCTGGTTTATTCATATTTCTTTAAGACTGTGAGAATCAAACTATGTCTGGCACAGAACTGAGTCAGAGAATCACCACACTTGTTCGGGGTTATATATTTCTATGAGAGCCTTGAGATGCTTGCTTTTTAATGTATCCATATCATGCTATTTCCTCATATTGATCTTGTGGTCAATTAAACTTCTGCAGGCTTCCCACACAGGGTGCTCTAAGCCACAGTACCATTCCTGTAACTGCACAGCTGGACAATTTAGACTCACGAGTAAGTCATCACATTTGTCACTTTTATAGCTTACTAGTCTCAAAAATATAATGGAATGAGCAGAGTTCCCTGTGAAATTTTTAATTGAATCCACAACCACCTTAAGAAACAGCTAATACCTTTCCTGTGCATTCAAGAGTCAAACCTAAAAATCATTATTTTGGATTTTATGTCGCCTGGTGGCAAAT